ACCGATTCCGTGCCGGGCCGAAAAATATTTCCGACTGATACTGAAACGAGACCGAACAGGAACTATGGTTGGTACCAGCTAAATAATCACCTTTGTCATTATTTTGATAAGTCACTAACACAAAAGATACAGGTGGTCTCTGGCTTCCTTATTTTGTTTGACCGTAACAACACCAGTCATGGTAGGGGGCACCAGCGCGGATCTGAACGGAGTTGAATAGGTGTGTGAGTGCTTTCGATGGAATCAGATTTCTCTCAGGACAACACTTGTTTAGATAATCTTTGATCATTTTACACTCCACCACTAGCTTCAAGTTCTCATCAAATTCTGACCACCCGATTGCATATCGTGGTCCGTCCTACTTATCTATCGATATGATGGCGAATGTTGTTGTTATTTAAATGCTGAAAGTGGTTGGCCTAGATCGCAAGTGTAGTCAAGTTGTATACGTTCAGATCTAGGTTGGTAGGTGGAAACTGTTTCTAGATGAGAGTATCAATCCATTCCCTGTACGACTCGTGGAGATGCCATGTTGCGAATAAAACGGCTACAAAGTGCGAGAAACGAAAACCTACCAGGAACTGCAATCCCGAAGTATTAAAAGTGAGGAAGGGAGGACGATGATTTCTGTCATCCTGCCAGTTAATAATAATAAGTTACTATCGGTTATCCTCTGTAAATGCTCATTCTGATCTGTGCTGTGGTCATTTTATTGAACGCAAAATTAGCTGGCGAGCTACAGCTCTTTTATTCCCCGGAAGAAGCATATTATTAGTTCAGTTTCGTCAAGTGTATTCGTAACTAATCATGGCTTACCCACTGAGTCCTCATTGGGGCTCGAACCTACTGTGAATGATTGTGAATCGAACTCTTAACTACCTGGTTATCCAGTCGGGCTTTCAAAGGTGTTTTGAACACAAACACCACCTGACTGCACGTAGTGTATATGTTCAATAAACCGTTCTGATCAAGCTTGGATAGCCTGGTAGTTAAGTGTCCGATTCACACTCGCTCACCCTGGGTTCGAACCCCGGTGGGGGCTGGGTGGACGTGCTCTGCTGATGGTTCCTAACAGGGGTGAAACAACTGTACAGTGCTTGCATGCAGTGGAAGAGCCATACCTCATAAATCCGAAGACCCATTGCAATCTCAGGGATAACCGGTAACCTGACCCTGAGATTTGGGGTGATGGTGAACCGCATATGGTCACAATAAGTCAGGCTATTGCCAATATAGGCGGCGATGGCTAAGTTCGTACTTCGTGCTGTCTTATAATGAACCACCCAGAATGAACGACAAATAAAACTTGCTTGTGTTTTCATCATTTTTTTCAGATCCTCAGATGACTCACCGTGCAGTAACAGCGCTCATTGAGATTGAAAGTGGAATTCATGGAAGAAGCATTATACGTCGGTTTCCTCCGACTTGTTAGGAATCATCCTTTGCAGCGCACATCCGTCGATTCCCCACCTAGATTCGAACCCGGAATGGACAACTGTGAGCCGAGCAATTAACAACCAGGTTATCCGGACTGATTCTCTTAGGGTTATTTAAAGTTACCGACACATATTATACCTCCCTTACATCTCAAGGGTAAGAACTATGTTTCTTATCAAAGATGAAATAACAGCGCGGCAGTGCCTCCGTGGTTTGTGAAGGTGAGTTAAATGAATGGGTTGGTGAATCTTATGACGACCACTTCAAGTCTTTAAACCGGCAAATTTCCGTCTAAGTGTTCCAGATGGAATGAGTTCAAGATGGACGAATGAACAATGCCTGTGGCAGGATTTCTACGAAGAATATCCTTATATATATATATATATATATATATATATATATATATATATATATATATATATATATGGGGGGACTGTAGAACTCACCATCCTGCACGACTTGGTCAGTATTTAAAACAACAATGTATCTTTCGGTCAAGGGCGTTCTACGAAGGACAGCTTCACTAGAATAATTCTTTTGCACTCCCGTTTTTGAGTGACTCGATCAGTTTCCACAGTTCAAGCAGTACAGTAATGTTGAGAAGTTATCTTCATTGACGCATCTGAAAATAGCCACAATTACAACTACCAAACTACGGTTAATTGAAGGCAAAACAATCAAAATAGACCTATTCAGCTTTAGATAGAAGATGCTACTAACATAGCTTTCAAATATCCGTGATCTGGTTGTTGAGAAATTGTTGTCGATAACAAAACAGCAACTGGAATAACCACTTGATTTCACAATAAAAAGGCCAGTCAATTCACTCACCCATTCATCATCCAGTATTGAAACTGAAGCCATCATTGGGAACCGTAGAAAAGTGGAAAAAGGGTTTCAGGTAATTTGCTATTGGAAATCAATAACTATAATTTTTATCCATCGACTCAGGGCGAACGTGTACTCAAATCAGGTTGATATGTGTGGGATTGTGAGTCACCCCGGTGTCAACACAGGAATATCTGGGTTGGTTTTTTTACAGCTTGATTTTTCAACGTGGAAAAATAGGACTGTGATGAACTAAAATTGGAATCTTCCGGACGGCGAGCACACCACATGTTTGTGCTAGTTCCTCCAGATTTTCCAACAAAAGACCCGGCTTCAGACTGGCTTCACAATACGTGAAGTTTGATTCTGCTATCTGCATTTATGGGAATGTCGATCAACCGAATGGGAACGAGACGGGAATCTACTCGTTTGCCTCAGCCTTGGACAGAGTGACTGATTGAGGACGGTTGCGGATGAGTCAAGCTCGAGTAGTGTCCACGTGGCCTATCCGGCCATGGACAAGGCCGAATACAATGCGATACAGTATAATCACTCAGTGACTTACTTGTTAATTTAGTCTCCGTTGGAAGAATAATGATTTGAAGTAATCCGTCTAACAGAGAAAAGCGGCCGACAAAAACGTACAAAGCAGACAGGTATAATGAACATACAGGCGGCAGAATGAGGCAGGTAAGATATATGACGAAAACTAAAAACAGAGACGATGATGCTGAAAGGTTTGTGGACAGGGTAAGCTGGAAAAGAAGTAACCATTTTCGAAGAACTGAACTGAACTCATGTCTCAAGGTAAACAAAGGTTTCTGGTCCGTCTTTTCAGACTGGGCTTATGCGGAAAGAGAATCCCCGGGCAAAAGCAGGAGAAAGTTCAATTTCACACTCTTAGTGGTGAAGTAAGAACCATATTTCTCACTTCGTATTTAATGTAGATAAAAGATGTTCCATAGTCTCGCAAGGTAATTTGAAGCAAAGTGAAAAAAAATCCACCGAAGTGAAAGCCGGATTATTTAAACCTGTGGATTATTTATTAATAATTATCGTTAATGCGTCAAAAGCGTGACGGAAAGTGAAAAAGAACCGAGAAAGATCACAGAGGACGCTATGAAGGAACCGAAAATTCACGTGGATTAGGAATGCAAACATGAAAGTCGTCAACAACACGATCATAATGGTAATCAAAATGATAAAAAATAGTAGAAATAAATGTGATTGTAATCGATGAAACAACCACACTCGAGGCTCTAACTCTCAATCGATCTGACCCTCTACCCTTACGCCAAATTTGTTTTCCGCTAACAGTTTGCGCCGTACCTGCTCATTCGTCGAAGCACACACCGGACATTGACCTGAAATGACCGTTGACTGATGCAAGCACTGATTTTGTTCCGCGACTTTTGACTTACATTTTCCATAGACATTTCGTAGACTTGACCGCTTGAACCCCAAGCGATCCTGAATTTGCTTGAACTTGTCTGACACTGATTCACGGAGCGGTTACCGCTGAGATTCGTAAATGTCCGTCTCATATAAGGGATTGTTTTACAAAGAAATGTACTGAAACCCACAACTGGAAGCTTGGCGTTTTTTGGATTGTGTAACGCGTAAAGCCACAACCAAACAAGACCGTCGAAATGATCATACCAAAGAAAAATTAAACACAAAGTAAATTAAAATAAAAATCATGAAATAGTAAGCGCAAATACCAAATCCGGCAACATCAAGGTCATCCACAATAATATTACCAGTACGATCAACAACTTCATCAACACCATCAACATCAACATCATCATCATCATCATCATGATCATCATCGTCATTATCATCATCATCATCATCATCATCATCAACATAATCATCATCGTCATCATCATCATCATCATCATCATCAAAATCATCAAAATCATCATCATCATCCGAATCGTCATCATCATCTGCATCATCGTCATCACGACCATAATAATAATAATAATCATAATCATAATCATAATAATAATAATAATCTTCATAATCACCAATATTATCATCGTCACCATCATCATCATCAACAACAACAACAACAACATCAACAATATCATCATCATCATCATCATCATCATCATCATCATCATCATCATCATCATCATCATCATCATGATCAGCATCATCATTGTCATGATCACCTTCATGGTCATCATCATCATCATCATCATCATCAATATTATTATTATTATTATTATTATTATCATCATCATCATCATCATCATCATCATCATCATCATCATCATCATAATCATCATCATCATCATCATCATCATTATCATCATCACCATTATCATCATCATCACCATCATGATCATCCAATTCGTCATCGTCATCATCATCGTCATTTTCTTCATGTTCTTCTACCACCCGCTCATCATCTTCCTCACCATATTCATCGTGATCATCACCATTACTTCATAATTATTTTTGCATTAATTAATATTTTCATCAAAGTGATCATCGTCATCGTCATCTTCTTCTTAATTATCGTCATAATCATCAAAAGCATCATCGCCATCAACATCATCATCATCATCATCATGATCATGATCATCATCATCATGATCATGATCATGATCATGATCATGATCATCATCATCATCATCATCATCATCATCATCATGGTAATTATCATCGGAATCTTCGGCATTATCAACAACTAAATCGTCGTCCTGGTCATCATTAAGTTTATCAAACTAGTCAACATTAACATTGTCATCACAATTATGGTCATGATTGCCATCAACATCATCATTATTATTATCATCACCATCATCAACACCATCCAAATCATCAACACCATCACCGACGTAATCATAATCATCCGAACCATTATCATCACAATAATTACCATCATCAAAATAAAAATCATCAATATCGACGTCATTATAATCATCGTCGTCATCATCAACAAAATTATCATCATCATCATCATCATCATCATCATCATCATCATCATCATCATCATCATCATCATCACCATCATCATCCACATAGTCAAATTCATCATCATCATCACCATATGCATCATCATCATCGGCATCATGCGCATCATCTTCATGACCACGATCATCAGCGTGATAATCATCATCGTCAAAATCATCATCATCTATATCATCAACATAATCATCATCATCATCATCATCATTATCAACATCATCAGCATCATGATCATCATCATCGTCCTCAGCATCATCATAATCATCATCGTTTTCATCATCAGCTTCATGACAACATAATCATCATCAACCTCATCTCAATCATCGTCATCATATTCGTCATCATCATGATCACCATCAACCTCATCAATGTCATCATCGTCATCATCATCATCATCTTCATCATCATCGTCATCGTCTCCAGCATCATCATAATCAGCATCGTTATCATCATCAGCATCATGACAACATAATCATCATCAACCTCATCTTACTCATCGTCATCATATTCGTCATCACCATGATCACCATCAGCCACATCATCATCATCATCATCATCATCATCATCATCATCATCATCATCATCATCATCATCATCATCATCATCATCATCATCATCATCATCATCATCATCATCATCATCATCATCATCATCATCATCATTATCATCATCATCAGCATCATCATCATCATCATCATCATCATCATCGTCCTCAGCATCATCATAATCATCATCGTTATCATCATCAGCATCATGACAACATAATCACCATCAACCTCATCAATGTCATCATCGTCATCATAATCATCATCTTCATCATCATCCTCATCGTCTCCAGCATCATAATAATCATCATCTTCACAATCATCCTCATTCGAACCATCATCAACATAAACCTTTTCATCATCATCAAAAACATCAACATCATCATCATCGTTATCATCATCATCATCATAACCATAATCATCATAATCATCATCGTCAACACCATCATCATCATCATCATCATCATCATCATCATCATCATCATCATCATCATCATCATCATCATCATCATCATCATCATCATCATCATCATCATCATCATCATCATCATCATCATCATCATCATCATCATCATCATCATCATCATCATCATCATCATCATCATCATCATCATCATCATCATCATCATCATCTTTATCATTTTCATCGTCGTCATCGTGATTATCTTGGTAATTATCGCCAAACGTTTACTAATCATCATCAACTTATTTTGCTTCATCATCCTGTTCATCAAAATCATCATGAGGATCACCAAATTTTCATTACTATCTTCGCCGTACTCTTTATGTAAATCCATGTCATCAAGGTCATGGTCAAAATTTCCTTCAAAATCGTCATCATCATCATCATCATCATCATCATCATCATCATCATCATCATCATCATCATCATCATCATCATCATCATCATCATAATCTTCAGCATCAACACCATCATAATAATCATCATGATCATGATAATTATCGTCATCATCATCGTCTCCAGCATCATCACAATCATCATCTTCCTAATTTTCATCATTCGAAACATCATCAACATAAACATTATTATCATCATCAAAAAGATCAACATCATCATCATCAGCAGCAGCATCATGACCATAATCATCATCAACCTCATCTTAATCATCTTCATCATCAACATAGTCATTATCATCATCATGAAAATCAACATCATAATCATCAACATAATCATCAACATCATCGTCATAATCATCGCCATCTTCAGCACCACCATCATCAAAATCTAGTTCATCAGCACCATCCTAATCATCATTACCATGATCATCAGTTCTTTCGGCAATATCATCATCATCCGAATCATCCGAATCATCCGAATCATCATCATTGTCATCATCACCATCGTCACCATCACCTCCATATTCCACGTGATCGTCATCATTATCGTGATCATTTTCTTCTACGACATCTTCATCTCCGTCACATTCATCGTGATCGTCGACATGATATTCATTACGATCCTCTTCATTTTCTTCATCATCTTCATCGTCATCTCCATTTGATCGGTGTCATCACCTTCATCTGAATCTTCGCCATCTTCTTCTGGTTTATCCACTCGGTTTATTTTCACCATCATCTCTCTCTTCATCGTCTTTTTCGCTATGATCATCATGGTCATGTTCAGCATCTTCTTCTGGCTTCATATTATACGTTTTTGTATGCAGTAATTCACATTTCCCTGTATCTGTTTACTTGCTTACATCATTTCATTTTTTATCCACCTGCATCTCGACGGGATGAACGAACGTATGTCACATCACTGAGACCGAAAATTTAACAGCACTTGAAGTGTACGGTGCCATTGCGCGGCGTAGGTTGTCGCTGCCAGTGTAGATAAATTTATCTTCCGTTGATACGCTCTCATCTAGCTAAGTGTCAATGTTCGAACTGTTTGATTGGAATTGTTCGCTTTTTTTAGGCATTGTTTTTTCCCAAACACGATTTTTACTGGGAGACCACTGGATATCTGAATAACATTTTAGCCCTTTTAGAAACACTAATCGATTTTACTCAATATGGTCGTCGTTCCTTACTTCATCATAAAAAGATTTGCATAGCTTTCCGTCTGAAATTTATAATCTCACGAAGTATTTCATAAATGAATGAAAATAAGCCCTCACCCAATAATCGGTTGTCCACAGGTATTGCTGACGCTCCTTGAAACCGATGTTCTTACAACCTGTGTATCCATCAAAAACAACTTGGCAGCCTGAAGCTGCCTGTTCTACTGCCTACACTTACCACTGCATCATCAGTATATGGAAAGGTGTTCGGAGTTATCTTTCAGCCCACTGAAGCACAAAATTTCCCCATAAACGTACTACCAGTTTCACAGCTGTGCCGCTAATCAGGTATGCACACACGTACTCTTCTGCCCAACCATCAACTTGAGGAGAATCAACTTTTGATTCTAAAAATGCACTCTTCGTCCGTCCACGCTCCATACGATTCAAATGAGATTACGGCTGTAAACCATTTCTGAAGTGCTCAAGTATACGGATGATTGGACAGAAAAATACCGGGAACGTATACCTGATGAGCAGCAAGCTCCGCAAAACTGGTAGTGTGCTTCTGGGTAAATTTCGTCTTGTCATCCAGATACAACTCCGTACTACTCATACGGAATATTCATACTCGGGATCAAGTGTCCACGTTCTGAATGTTAGCCGTGTCAGCTGACGAATTACCTTTGGAAGAATCACTGTGTGATGCTAATAATAGACTGTTCTACCATGAAGGCATTTTAAGATTCAAATTACATGAAAGCCGTAAGAAGACAGAATTAACGAATTCCTCATTTGGTACAGATTTCCCATCCAAAAACTTAAGAGAATGCGAACCAAAAATAAGCGGCATTTTGCTCATATCCGAAGTGAAAGTTTTTTGATAGAGGTACATGTTACTTGTGGTTAATAATCTATTCGTTTGCATTGATTTTTGATTATTTTTCCCGGCCTTTTGGGAATGATGAACACGTCAGTCATTTCACTATCTTTTACTCGTCCCAATCCTTTTTGTATCGTTTAATGTGTAGAAAGTCTACTAGTTCCTTTACTCGACACTGGAAATTAATTCCCAATTTGTTAGGAAGTAATTGCAGTACTTGAACCTTCAAGAAGCTCATGATTTCAGACTTTCAAAAAAGAATAACAAAAGAATGGAATTTCCTACGGAAAAAGTCTGACAAACGTCTCATAGGAGGTGACACGGAGCATTATACTACAAAACTATAACCTTACCAGAAGAACTTCGGGTTCAATTCTCCAGAAATATTTTGCTCTTGAATGCGATAAATTTTCATTGGTCAAGGTTTCTTTGATGGCACTCCAAAGACTTGAGTGCCCATAATTCATCGAGGTCTTTTTAATCATGTGTGATAAGTATTACTATCTCAGTGTCTGTGGAATGGATTTATTGGGGGAACGTTCGCCGTACGAAAAGTTGTGTGCCTTCCAAACTCAATCCCGTACCGTACACTCACTGGAGAAGTGAATCGATAGACGAAAAACGACGTGAGACCTGGTTTGAAATACTTTGTACACTCGACACTCGACTTCTGTTCATTGGGACTTGGGGTCGGTTATTTTATATGGGGTTCAAAACCAGCCGGGCCAATGACCATTAACATTTGGATTACCTCGTAACATTGTCAAAATCTGACAAACATCAATATATTTTATATCAATTGAAAGTTGAATTAGTTTGTTTGACCTGATGTTTGATACTTTTGAAAAAGGTTTTGTTCATTGTAGCTCAGGTTTATGTTGTTCGGCGGCTTTTGATTGCTGAGCTTAGCTTTTAGGTTGCAATTTTTCGTCACCAGTCGAGGTGACATCATCATATATACATCATATATACCTATATATATATATATATATATATATATATATATATATATATATATACATATGTTCACTAGGATCTAATTTGAATCGTCTGGAGTGTGAATGGATACTCTTCATTGAAGAGCCCACAAATGAATCACAACTGTGATTTCTTATAGTTATTCGTGTCTGGGTCACTGCTAACCCAACGAACAACGAGGCTGCATGTGCAAGCGCTCATATTGATAGTAAGTAGTATGTAAACGTGTGGACAAAATTTCCCCGGATGCACACGACCGGTTTCGAGGTTGTTGCCGCTCATCAGGTATGCGTACCGGGTACCTGATGAGCGGCAACAACCGCGAAACCGGTCGTGTGCTTCCGGGGAAATTTTGTCCACACGTTTACATACTACTTACTATATATATATGTATATATATATATATATATATATATATATATATATATATATATATATAGCCCCTAGGTCAGAACTTGGCCTCTGGAGTGACCTTGGCTGGTTACTAATTACGGAAAGTTGAGCTTTTGACCTTCCGTGACAAACTACTAAATATAGCAAGTTGACCTTTAGCAGCGCCTTCTCCTTTGGGAAACTCGACCTCTTGAAATGTATTCTTATATATCCGTGAATTTATATAAATTTATATGAGTATGAATATACACATACGTATATATTTATGTACTTTTTCGTACTTTTTTCTGTTGTTTTTGTCTTTATTCTTACTTCTATTTCTTGCCTAGATTTTTGGTTTATTGAGTCTTTTTGGTGTCAGTTGGGTTGACATGTTCCCCCGAAGAATTGGGTTCCAGGGCTATGGGCCCGTAGGATTAGGATTCCGTTTATTCGTTTTTCATTTTTTGAGTTAGTTGAACCTTTTGCTCATCAACAGATTGTAAATGCGGTTCTGTTCGATGTGTTTATTGACTGAATTCGTTGAAGACCGCCTAGCTTCAAAACTCTCCCTTGCATGTCTCGTGGTTGCTGATCCGGAAAATGGGCTTCCTCCAGATTGAACGTGTGTCCTTTTTAGTCTCTGCGGAAGGATATTGTTGGGAATGGATCATGTCTTCTTGTAGCCAATTTGTGTTTATGCATTCTCGTGGCAATCCTCCTCCTCGTTTGACCAAAGTTGCATTTGTCGTAGTCTTTGCTTTTCACCTTCCATATTACATTTTTTCTTTCTTCGGTTTTCAGTTGCTCTTTCGGACTTGATATGATTCTTTTCAGGATGTTGGTTGATTTATGAGCAACCTACATGACTTGTAGTTGGAGGAGTCTTGCGTTCATTTCGGATAAGTTTTGGTGTACGGTATTGCTATCCCTCGGTTACCTAGCGCTCGCTAACTTGGTTTTCTTCTGATTCCGTGCATGGTTCTTCGAATGAAGTTTCTTGGATATTCATTGCACTGAAACATATTAACAGGATATTTCTCTTTCTGCGTTCTAATTTCCACTATGCAGCAGTGGATTTTGGCTCTTTTGAACGGAGTTCGGAAATATGACTTCTTGTAGCTATTTGGATAATTACTATTGAAGCTCAACATTTGGTCCGTGTGTGTTGGCTTCTGATATACAGAAGTATGCAGTACGCCATTGCCGTTTCTTCTGACCAACACGTCCAGGAATGGTACTTCTCCGTTCCTCTCTATCTTCATTGTGAATTAGAAATATCACTGAAGATGTTGTTGATTTTTGAGTGTGCCTTTTCAATATTTGAGTTTTTGGTTGGTTGAGAAAGTACCACCCACATATCTGATCAAAAGTTTCGGTTGGATCCTAGGTAATGCAATTTTCTCAAAGGCTTGCATTACAGCTTCTGCATTAAATCCGGATATCGGTGATCCCATTGGAGTACCTTATATCTGTTTGTAGACAGCGCTATCGAATTTGAAGCACGTGTTTAGGTGTAAATTCATCAGTTCACTAACCGTTTGCGTTCCCAAAGCTTGGTCTGGATGGTGTTCCTTTACTGTACTTTTTGTTGGGTTCAAATCAACTGATGTGAAGAGCTCCGGGACGTCAAACAAGACCGTATCTTTATTGTCCTCCACTTTGATGATTTCAATTTGTCCAGGAACTATTCAGCTTTGGTTATAGAGTATTTCGATCTACATAACAATGGTTTGAGGAGTCTCCATAATTCTTTGAACAAACCTCAGCAATCAGAAACCACTGGAACAGACCTCATCTTTCTTAGCAATTTCATACAGAAATACTGTAGATCTCGTTGAACAGACGCTAAACCTTTTTGGAATCCTAGTTATCAACAACTATCTGCTTTGGATATACTGACTATTCTCCCAGCATTTCTTGTTCAGACTGTATTGCCCAGTGATAATCAGATTAGTTGTGCTTCTGCTTACTGCAATGTTTCGGGAGAGATGTGCAAAAGAAAGACGGCCTAGATGTCTCAAAAGTTTTCATTTTCACTTGTTTGCTAAATTAGCAAAAATTTTGGATTTCGAGGGCTTTTGACTTCGTCATTACATAAACCATTGGGATAATTAATATACTACTCTCATTTAGTCTTGACATCCGGATGATGTATTTCTGGTGAGTCTCACATCTACCGATCATTTGCTTTTGAGCCGCCGGATAATGTCATTCTGCAAATATGTTCGTTACTTTTTGCTCCTTTCCGCTGGATGGACACATGTTAGACATTTCAGCAAAGAAGAATTACCCGTGGGATGATCAAAAGTTATTCGTCAGTGACGAAAACCACATTTTGTGAATTTCATCTTCATAATGAGCCATATTAACCACTTTGTCAATCTTCGACCCCCAAGTTCCGGCG